CTGTGAAAGTTTTCAGGTGATCAAAAAGAACAATTAAACTTTTCTTGGCTCTCACCAGTTGCTGAGTTTATTTCAGTATTGTTCTAGTTTCGGTTAGCTAGTATAATTTCCTATCCATTTTCAGTTACACATTGAAAATGATGAAAGAGAGTGGCTTAATGAAATTTTCCATCCAGCTACTGTCTTTTATGAGATACACTGTAGAATATGCCACAGAGTTCATCAAGAGGCTTGAACGGAAACACCAACTTTTGAAAATAAAAGGTTATTCCTACGATTACTGATAAGTTTTAGTGCCCTTTTCTACAGGTCTATAAGAGTCAGTAAACTGCTTCTATGTAGGCAGGTGTCAACACTGTCAAAATGTGTTATTGGTATATGGATATCGCTCTATCATTTAGGCCTTAAAGGGTGATAGTCATACTTGATTTAACACCACAGAGCTCTAGTAAACACTGAATATTTCTGGAGGCTTGTGCAGAATGTAAGAACTGAAAGCTGTTTATGTCACCCTAAAATGAACTGAAACAACAAACAGATTGAGGATTGTTATTTAATTATTTTTTCCTGAGAAGTGACTGTAAGGGGAGCAAAATTAAGACTGTTTGTGCTGTGAATAGCTACTCTCTTTTTATAACTTTTGTACCTTTGTTTTCAGTTTTTAACCTACTACAAGCACTGAGTGATCTATCCTGGTAAGCACAGACAGAATACTTTTTTTAAGCATGTGGTGCAATACCTGTAATGGTGAACGGAACAGCCACCTATTGATGGCTGTTTGGCTACTGAGGAACTGTCTGCATCCAGATGAGGACATTGCATTCTTCTGGCAGATGGTGGCCTGACAGGGAGTTTGAACCTGCATTAATGAACTAAGCAAACACATGTTTAAATCCATTTTGGAATAGCAGTTGAGTCTTCAAGTTCTTTCTCTGCATCACTTTACCCTTCTGTAAAATGGACATAAACCCACCAAATTAATAGTACAATGATGTCTAATTTGGGTAGAAGAAAACCAAAGTGTTTTCACATATGAATTATTTTGTCTGTGGTGCTCCTTCTTTAAGATAAACCTCTGTTTTTTTGAGACTGGTCTTGGGTTTTGATGGACGGTAACATTTAAAGCCATTCCACTGGAAAGGTTTCAATAAGGAGTTGTGGCAGATGGACAACTTGCAATGAAAATATAGAAAAGAAAGGAAGAAAACAAGGTATGGAATGGGAAAGACTGAGAATTAGGACAATGTTTTGGGCAATTAACTGCTGCATTCATGACTTGCCAGGACCATGAAGGTCATATCTCATATAAAAAACCAAACAAGCACA